TGCTGCTTATGGCAATTAAAAACTTAATAGACATTATAATTTTAATTTAAGTTTTTTGTTATACATTTAGCATTGGAGAGAATATCCCATAAAGGAAGTTTCAGCTAATATGAGCAATTAAATGACGTCATAATGACGTCATATTACATCATAATGACACCAAAGTGCCTATAGTAATTTAATTTCATTTGTGACATTCTACTCTTCTCTCTCTTCTCTCTAAATTTGGTGGTCATACGCCAAGTAATTAAAGAGTAACAGGGGCGGACCTTAAAAGCCCCTCCCCCCTCCCCTGTCCCAAGAAGCCAGAAAAGCCCGGTCTGAATTTCACCATTTTCCATACATTGGTTCACTGGCCAAACACAAAGCGCTCAAGCGAGGCGCCAAGGTGCTTTCAAAGGATTATTAAAGTTTGAACATTGCAACCTCGACTGAATGCTTTTTATTTGACCAGTGAACCGACTTATGGAATAAAAACAAAGGCTTCCCAGACTCACAGTTTGCGAATTGGGGGATGAGATTTCCGTGGCGTTAGAAACGGCTTTGCGTTTTTCATTTTAAGAAATGCTAAAATTTTACATTCTACGCGAGGTGTTTTTTACTACACGGGTGCCCTGTGTATTATATGGTAATTATAGAAATACCGCTGCTTTGTTGCATCGTTTTTCGGTCACGCCGACCCATGGGATAGCATCCGCAACTCGGAGCGCCATCTTGTCAAAGGAAGGATTTATTTTATAGATAGCCTTAAGATTATTATATTCTACGAACCTGTTTTATAGGACTCTCCAGTCATTATGACTGCTCAAGAGCAAATGAAGAAGATGTTAGATGAATTGATGGGCACGAAAAGAGATGGTGAGTTACGACAACTAAATAAATAATTATTGGTTGTGTAAAGCAGGGACATCTTAGTAGCTAAATCAACGAGACTAGCAGTTTTATGTGGCGATTACTGAGCTGCTAGTACGTTTTTGGCTTTTTTGAACATTTCCGAATATTAAAACTTAGAAGCTACTTAGAATTTATGCTGAATTTTAGTCGTGGTTACAAGCAAAAGCTCTAACTAACAGTTTCTTTTTCGAATAAACCTTAGAATAATAAATCTAGCAGCTCWGTGAATGTATGTTCAATGTCGACTCTTTTATGTCTGTAAAACCAAAGTTGTGATGTTTTTGGGATGGTTAGTAGGTATTGAGTTTTGATGTTCATATACGCGTTGTACAAAAGCCCACAACAACAAGTTAAACCAGCTTCGCAATCAAAATGCCCATTTATTCTCATTGAAAGAGTTTCCAACTTGAATTCTAAGTGTTTGTTGGGATATGAAATTAATTGTAGCTGTTACTGCTTTCTAAGGCGGCTAGCCATCTTATCAATGATTATTTCTTGATCAAGTCAGTGGAGTCGTAAGTAGGTAGACGTAAGTAAGGGAGATTTCTCCACGAAATTATTTCAATATTTAAGTTACTATATGTTCATTGGGTTGGGTGATTAATAGCTGTAAGTATATATATTTACTGAATACATGTGAACCCCTTTCTGTCAGATATCAATCGGCTGATAATGTCAATGAGTAATGGCCTGAAAAAAGAACAATAGCTCTTATCGTAGTTGAGCATGCCACCCCGACAAACCAGTGATATTGTGATGAGCTTTGCATCAAAATGAGACCAATCGGTCGAGCTTCGGATAATTTGCTAAGGAATTTACTACAAAACTTCGACTGGCTATAACATTTTAATACATATCTTAGTTATACAAAGTTTTTTGTAGCCTTTCTAACTTTGATCAAACCTTATATAGCTTTTGGATGTAGTTTGAAAACAGTAGTTTGAAGGCAGAAAGCAATGAATTATCGTGGCTTTGCTACAGTACCATTGATAACAGTAAAAAGCTACTCGCATGGCTCAATAGACAAAAAAAAAAATACTTTGTATATCAATGATATCTATCAAAATTTAGTGATCTCTTGAACATTTGTAGTAAATTTCTTAGTGAATGCTTCGAAGCCCGACCTGATAGCCTCGTTTTGATGTCACTTTCATAGAAATGCCACTGGTTTGTTAGAGTAACATGCTCAACTGTGATAAGAGCTATTGGCTGAGAAGCAAAGCTGTGAGGTCATAAGTGATGTTTTGAGGATCATTTCTCATCCAAGGACATTATCAGCCAAAATTCTAGTGAGCCAGAAGGGGTTTATTTATTTTATAGCCCAACGACTTTATTGGAATGGATTCTGTTAACTGAGGCGGCGTAGCTCAGTTGTTTAGTGTGCGACCTTCAGAGCTTGAGGTCCATGGTTCGATCCTTAAGATCTCTACGTCTGTTTCAAATTCTTTCCAATCCATGTAGCTTCAGCTTTAAATACTCTTAAAACAGAGCACTGATGGAGAGAGGGGGTAAAGTGAGCACCGTCGGCTTACACTGACAGCAGTTGAATTTCAACTGAAGGAACTACCGACGTTAAATATACATGTAGGTACTTTACCTTTTTTAGGCTTCAATACACATGTTTATCATTTCTGACAGAAGATTCGAAATATTATCTCTTGTCTCGGAGCTATAAATACAATTATTTTGGTAAATGAAAGCTGTTTCCATTGTACTTGTATGACACTAGTTGTTGATTTTGTTGGTTGGCTTTTAATTGTTTATGAGAATGATTTGGAAAAGAAACATTTATTTAGTCAGAACAACACAAATGTTTACCATTTACAGTGTGACTTCTCCAACCAAGACCATCTCAGCAAATTTTCTACAAATTATTCAATAGTGTTTGAGTATTTTAAACAAGGTTAGCTGCAAATTTTGAAATTTAGATATTCTTCCATTGTTCAGATTGGCAAAACTAAACAAGAGCTTGATATATATTTTCTTTGCAAATTAGTGATGTGTATCACCAAAAATGTAAAAAAAAGTAAAGTATGACTTCAAATACCATAGAAAACCAAATTAAAAACACTCTTAATGAGAGTAGATAGTTTTAACCCAGATGTGGAAGTTGTGAATTGTGGTCGTCTGGGTGAGTGTAGTCACTACAGTACAGCCCAGATGTATGTCATGTTAACGGAGTACACTAGTACTAGTGTAGTCCGTCCATCCACGTTTATGCCACTCTAAAAACTTGACAAAATTACACGCAGCACAATGGCTCATTAACTTTAGTCTGATTCCTGAGGGATTGGTAGTGTACATGATTGTATTTGTTATTATCTAGTTTAAAAAGCTGATCACTGACAAGGCGATAGCATGTAGATGTTTTTCATTTCCTACATAAAACACTTCTGATGCTTTTACTCAAGGTGAAGCATGTAACATAAGATCATATACTTATATTAATAAAGTTCGTTGCTCCTCTAGAGACACTTATATTTTCTTAGAAAGAATATTGAAACAAAAAAAGAACCTTCCGGTGTACTGTGACTACAAAACTGTATTTGCTGTCGTATAAAGCATAAAAATGTCTCATAAACGTCGCTTTTTTATACAAGAAGTCAGAGTTATATTTATTATTACTCATATGTAAGTGGTTCCAAACATTCATTGAGCTTATAAGAATGTCAAAATTGATGCTTTAATTTAAATTGCTTTGAGCTTTTGAACTAAAGACAAACGTAACATTTATTTCTGGGACACACATCTTCGCATAACGGAGTATGCGTAAAATGCATTGGATAGTGCAGCAGTAAATACTCAGAGCGTACGGCTGATTCAAACCAGAAAGACCATTGGTTGGAAAGATAAGTGAACACTATTTAGTATCCATTTAGAAACAAAGATATATCAATTCAATTAGAAATCTACAAATAACTGAAACAATCACACATATTTAAACCCAATCCGTCTGTCCTGGCGCCCTTGGTAAAATAGTAGAAATTTCTAAATTGTTCAGGTCACATATATATTGCACTCATTGCTTCTTGAATCATGTGATATTGGTTTTCTCATAAAATTTGATGTGGAATTCCCTCTTCAGCTTATAATTTTTGTTTATAATATCCATAATATCCGTCCTCGCTCCCATTTGAGCCAATACAGCATGTGAAAATTTATCGTTGGGTTATAAAATAATATACATATTAACATATATATATATATATATGTGAATATGCATATGTAATATATACTATATATACACAGACATTTGCAAAAATTATGACTGCTTCCAATATATATACAAGTATATAAAAAGCATATCAAAAATTATGGGATATCATCCCTGATATTTGTTTCGAGTTGTCTATTATTAGGGCTTTCTGAATAAAATATCAAGAAAGATATTCTGTCGTCTCTGATATACTTTTTATATACTTGTATGTATATTTGAAACGGCCATAATTTTTGCAAATGCAGCGATATGCAGAAATTCTGATCCAACCAAGTATATAGCATATGCATCTGTAACTATATCGGGTGCATTATGGGTAATAGACCCGCGGGATTCAAAGCTAAGTACCAAAGCGTTGGCTGGTGTACCGAGAGCTGTTCATGAACAGAGCTAAAGTCAAAAGGCGGAAAATATGTGTTTACTTTTTAATACCTCTACACTATTAGAATAAAATATCATATTGTAAATGGTTTTGTTGATGTAAAGTGAAACATTGGAAGTTTTGCAATTGGTTGAGTTTAAAATCAGTTCTGAAATCGCTCTTCTTGAAAGTTTCTAGCCTGCAAAGCAGGCGTTCTTGTGGGTTTGGGGAAAACCCGGGGTTTTTGGGGAACTTTGGAACGAGCGAACTTGAAACCGAGCAAAAAAGAAGCGAAGGGGGAGGGGGCGGGAAGGGGAAGAAGGGAATGCCTGCCAGCAGCCTTTGTTATTTTGATAAACGCCTCCTAATTAGATATGTGTGATCGAAACTCTAGATGCCAAAAAGTAACCAATCACGATTGAAGATGAGTTTAACGGAAGTAAAAGACCACTTCTGATATAAACAATCAAAGGTCAAAACATTCAAAAATTTCATAGCTTTTCTATTACCACTAGCTAGTGCAAATGAAAATTATCGATTTTGTAATTGCTGTTTAAACTAAATTTTTGAGTTCCAAGTAACCCAGGAAAACAGGGATATCTGTCATTTGAAAATTTGTTCAAGCCTTCTAGAAGAAAAGATTCTCTGCGGATTGTTCTTGCTGATATTTGAAATGAGTATAAGAAAATAAGTTAGGCCAATTGTATAATATCGTCAACAGTAAAGCTGTTTGAATTTCTACCCCATCCAAGACTAAGAAAGAAGGCAAAAGATTACTGGATATATGAATAAAATAAATCGAGTCCCTTGAGGAGGAGATTGATTGAAGACAACAAAGGTACATGTGTTCAAAGTCATCGTGCGCAAAGAAGCCGCTCAGCTACCAAATTAATATACCATTAAGGAAACAAAAGCCCATTGTTGGAAAAGGATAACGATGCAAATATTTCCTCATATTTGAATGTGGCGACTAGCCATAGGAACAGTGAAATTATCAAGTACAAGTTGTTGTGCGAAAGACTAATAATGGCAGCGTCGTTGTTAGAATTCCTCTAGATGAAGAGAGTAAAACTTTTGTAAAGTATATTACCTACACAAATTGGAATGCGGCTTCCAAAGGTATTCTTCGACACCCTGGAATGCAAGATGATTCGAATAGCTTGAGAATAAAACCGCTATTGGATTCAAATAAATCTAAATCTAAACTCTTCGGTGTCGTCCACCTTATCACGGGACAGGCCTGATGAGTCCAAACGCACGATCGGTATATGATTGATTGCTGTCCATCAAAGATATTTAAGCTGAGCCAATCAGAAGCCTTCCTTCGCCTACGAACGAGTTCTTCAAAATAACAAGGGATGCTGGCAGGCGTTCCCTTCTTTCCCCTCCCCCTTCCCACGTGTTCCCTTTTTTTTGCTAGGTCCCATTTTTCTTGAGGGCCATTGGTCGAAACAGGAACCAAAAAACCCTGATTCTTCCTCTCAAACCCATCCAAAGGTCGAAACAGGAACCCCAAAACTCTGATTCTTCCTCTCAAACCCATCAAAAGAACACCTGCTCTGCAGGCTAGGAAGTTTCGGTTGAGCTGAACTCAATTCTGAACTCGTTCTCCGCTTATTTATAATACTATGTGCCCTTCTAAAACAATCAGTCACTCCAAGGACAGCAAAACCAAAACAGTCAGTAATATGACTTATGACAAAAGTGGTACAAAAATTGTTCATGAGCTACTCTGGATAGGATATTTTGCTTTATTCATAGTCTACCGTGTTATTGTTATTGAGCGTCAACCCAGTCAAATCTCAGTTGATGAACAGGCTGAATATAATTTCTAGATAAACGGAGGTTATTCTTAGTTAAGTGAGCCATATTCTTCCACTTCTCCTCTGATAACTAAGTGATTCTTTGTGGTTACTTTTTCTTTTATTTCTCTCTCTCTCTTTTGGCTCAAGCTATTAAAAGCTTTGCAGTTTTATGCAAAACAAATTCACTCACGAGAGTGAAAGTTTGAATATTAATCATCATTGCACTAAAGCCGTTTGTATTTTTAATCAAAATTGCATAAAATAAACAGCAGTTTATATTGAAAATAACGCTGACTGTCGAGTCCTAGGCAGGGTGAAAATTCTTTTTCTGGTTGAAACAAGCGGAGTTTGTTTTGAAAGGTAACTTATCTTTAACAAAATGCCAGTCAACGCTTTGGTACTTTTAATCCCACTTTGAATCCCGCGAGTACATTACCCATAATGCACCTGATACAGTTATATACTATATACTTGGTTGGATCAGAATTTCTGCATATCGCTGTATTTATTATATATACATACTCTATATTTCCTGTCTGCATTCATAATCTTCTGTAGGACCCAATAACCTATATTGCATTTCCCATTGAATATCCATCCTTTTTGACACAGGAGACCAACCTTACCGCCATTTGCATTGCTACACGGCCACCCCGGACAAAAATTGTGACATGCACTTTGCAATAGACTGCTGTCAATCAAACACGTTGATGTCATTTACAGGCATGTGTGGTTCAAAAGGCCCCAAAACTTGTCGATTGTTTACAAGTATTATGAGCCACACTCACCGGGCCTATCTGGGCCGATCCAAACACGTGTAAATGACGTCAATGTGTTTGATTGATGACAGTCTATTGCAAAGTGCACGTCATGATTTTCGTCTGGGGTGGCTGCGTAGCAATGCAAATGGCAGTAATAAAATTGTTAGCGGTTTGAGCATTATTTATTTTGATCAATGTGAATATTTGCAACAGGTTACTCATACTATTCAAACATTACTAATTGGTCTTAAGGTAGTTCCGGACCCTTGCTACTGCGCATCCATTTCGCGCATCTCATTTTTTACCCTTTATTTGCGCTGTTTTGAAAATTGATTTAAATAATGTCAGAAGTTGAATCCTTTTCTATAACTTAACAAAGTATTTTGCTAATTCATGGAACTTTTGAGGCAAAAATGAAATGTTTTAAAAACATGCTTAGATTTTCATTGCCTGACTTGATCACTCTTGATTCAAAACAACAAATTCATAACTTTATAAAAATAAAGTAACAAAAAATGAATTTGATATGTTATTTTCAAAATCAATTCGAAATACGTCTTAGATTCTCTGGAGATTACAACAACGATTTGACATGTTTCAGAYGGAGGTTAATGTACTAGAACCCAATCCCGTGCGGACAGGATTTGTGTTTTTTGACCAAAAACTTGGATTTAGTCACTCATAGCTCCTCTATTAGTATGGTGACCCCCATTTTTTTTCTTTTCATTCGGAGCTGGATATCATATTCTTTGGATTTAATGTGGAAAGAAAAAAATTCATAGTTAAAATTGTCATGAATTTTCAACATTTTTACAACTACACACGCATATGACTGCACCGAATTACAAGCAATTTCGGTTCTAGAATTAACTTTTAACACTACTTTCAAAAGATTGGATGGATTTTTTATCTAGACATGTTTTCTAGACTAAACAGTTATAGTTTAAAACCGTTTTCTGTTTTTCTTTGTTAAATCGTTTCGAGTAATTCAAATTTATTAGAGGAGGCAGATTTTCGGCAAAAACGCGTGGAAAACTGAAAAATCCCTCCTTTTTGAAGCCTTATATCTCGATAACCAATACGGCGACCCCCTTCTCTTTTTTCATTATYTGAATACCCTAACAATGAACTTCAAATAACAGAATTWAAAAAAAAATTCATAGAAGAATTTTGAAGATCCGGTACTACCTTAAAACCCTAAAATAATAATAATAATAATGCATAAAACTTAAATGTTTTCACATAGACATTTAAGTAGTAAAACTACATGTAATTACCAATATAGATTGATGAATGCCAGGCAAAACAAAAAATGTCATCTTAACATTTATTAGATGTAATGGAATCTGTGGAGACTGACACCAAAGTGTCAAGACTAAACTTTTCAAGTTATTAGCCTCTTCTATTTTGGAAAGAGCTTTGACATTCAGATAATCAAACTTTCTTTTCTTTCATGTTTGGAAAAGACAAGAAAAGGTTGACAAAATTGGTTTTAGAACAATATTTTTAAAGATTTTGTGTAAAGTTTTGTTCCATGAAAGTCTTTCTTCTACTGAATTCCTGAAAAGATTTTTAATTTTGTCATTGTTGCATTCTCAGGTGCTGCCAGTGAGGTTGATATAAAGTTTACTAATGAAAAGGTTTGCAAGAGCTATCTTATGGGGCTTTGTCCACACGAGCTTTTCAACAACACGGTAATAATGAACTGTATATTTTTTACGTTGGTGTACTTTGTCCTATAATATTTTGTATAACATTTCTAAAGATTTCTTTTTAAATGCTACATATTATTGTGCTTGTTAAAGTGTTATCCCATTTTGGACTCCTGCAGTCCACCTAGGGTATGTTTTGCATGTCTATGTAAACATAGGTGAATTGGGGTGATGGCCATTTTGATAGCCCTTGATGGGTGTTGTACTGATAACTAGTGCATTTACCTCTTGCATCTGGGGTCTTGGGTTTCATGCATGGGCTCAGCATTACATAGTAGGCCTCTCCCTTGACTTGAAGCTTTTTCTCTAGGATCTACAGTTTCTCTCCCTCCACAAAACCTGACAAGCTAAATAATACTATAAATAATCATTTTTACTGGGTTGCCTGTGGCAACCCAGTCATAAAATGTGTCTTTTTATTTCTGTCTCTTCCTTGACAAAACAAGTAGATTAGCACAATATTACCCATATATGGATGTGATGAGGTGTTGATAGCTTCATGTGTGAGTTCACATGCAGGCTATTGTGGAATTGAATGTGCATGTTCTTTGAGAACATGTGGCCAGAAATTTATATCTATAGCTTTTTTATCGGGACATTAGCAAATTCCATCATTAAATAAGGTTGGTGACCTTCAATTCCACGTGGTAGACTTTAATCGTGGAGTCTTACTAGTATTTCATTTTTACTTGTAGATTCTCATTCATGTTAACTGATTCAGTGAGATTAAATGCTATATACAAACATAGAAAACATAAAAAAGTTTTGTTCCAATTTTAATTTTGATTTGAATGAACACAAAAATAATGTTGTAAGGGCAATCAACAATCTTCAATGCCACAGCGAACACTTTAACAACAGTCAACTTTACGCAATGATATCTTCAATGAAACAATAAACAACAAAAGTACAATATGTACCAATTCCGATGGAATCTTGAGGAAAAATCAGTGTAACTTACTATATAAATAAAGTGTTTCTCAATGAACTCTTAACTAGGCTTTCATCGATATCAGACCATCAAGGCCATCTCGGTCAAAAACTCAAAGATTTGCTCTAAAAAACAACCAGTGATATGAATTACAGTTAAGTTGCCTGAGAGTTCAGTTGCCTGGAGTCAAGTCACACGGACTCATGGTTCAGTCGCCCGCACACCCGAATAAAGACAAGCTGAATGATATTTCTAAGGAAATTCTTAGAAAAAGTTGGCTTATTTGGGTGAGCAAATGAATATTTTATGAGTGAAGTACTGACATAACTTCTTCCATCGGGTTTATTTACGGTGGGCAAGTTTGGACCATTTCATATTGTTGGGTCATGGCAAGCTAGTTAAAATTGATAAGTAGTGTGACATGCATAACATAACACTAATTAATTGAATTTCATGGCTTGATTGATATTAAACTGTTCGCACAATGCCAAGAGTCGTTTAGCACGACTTTAAAATACATTATATGATAGATTTTCACGAACGCGGGCTCTGATTGGCTGAAAAGCTATGTTTTATCAGAGTATAGAAACATATATATGACGTCAAAACCATGTTTTCTATACAAAGTTAAACAGAAATTACGTCATAGGAATTCGGCTTTTCAATTTAAAAGCATTTTCACATTTTAACTTTAAAATAGTCATTTATTTTTATCAAGAATTATGTCTTTCCTATAAAAAAGGAAAATATTTCGTTTTGAAGCACATTTGATTGGTACTACATTTCGAAGAGTAAAGAGTCTTTGTTTGTGCTGCGACTATTGCAATGACCTTATTTCGCAAAACTAGAAGCTTTTTGCTTGACCGTGATGGTGTTAGAGAAGTCAAAAAATAATTTCAAAAATTTTTCATAGTCTAACAAGAATGAACAAATCTATTGTAAGAAACTTCAGCTTACATTACAAACTAGCATCGTCAATTTTACACTAATTTACGGTAATTTTTTACCATAATTTGTTTTCCAATAGCCCGAGACTACGATTACAAAATACTACCTACATTACTATTATTCATTTGCAATAGACGTCATAGCCGCCATGTTTGAAGAATTTGACAAAAGATTTTAAAATGAATTCTTTTGTTATATCTTCCAACATGGCGGACATCCCTTTTGTTATTGTGCTCTCTTGGGATTGATTACAAACCAAGAATAGCTCAGGTTCAACTAAAAAAAAAAACAAGTTTTCCAAGTACTGCACTGCTAGCTTTCTTCCAATTTTGAAGATCAAGTTATTTTTCAGTCTCTCGGTTCCTTGGCATTCAAAGTCTTCATAAGCTGGTTTTCTTGAGTGTTTGTACAGGTTAAATGTCCATTTAACGATCTGAACTTTGAAAACGTTTTTCAAACTCTTCGGTATTTGAATTTTCATTTCTCCTAGCAGTTAAATTCTTGTTTTCTTTGGCTTTCTTGCTAAAATTTACAAGCAATTCTCCTTTCTTGTTGAACAAATGCGATAAACCAGTTGTAGGCCAGCCTGTACAGATATATCACTACCTGTCAAAACTGGACCAATCAGATAGCCATAGGTCGCGTTTTTAGCCAATCATCGCATAGGTCAAATTTGTTTACGTGAGTTTGACGACAGACGCGCGCTCTTTTTTGTAAACAAATCTTTTTTTTGAAATTTTACGCTATTTTCTTCGTAAAAATCTATTTTGTAAAGCGATTAAAACGATGTATTTGTTAAGTATATGGTCACTAAGAAGTCGTGAAAATATCTTTCCTGTCTTTTCATGCAGTCTTTTCGCTACCAATAAGTTTTTAGTCTCCATAGAGTAGTTTGTATCCCTTTTGTAGATGTCGGATTCAGCAACACACGACATCTCTCATCTCAAAGCGCCATATCTTTTCCTTTAACTTTATTAATGAAAAGAATGAAGTCTAATGGATTCTAAGTAAAAGAAAGCGTCAGAATAAACGACAAGGAAGCTTGTTGATTACACGAAAACAACACGGCGTCGCTTGTTTAATAAAGCGTAAAGGTATTTTAGTTTTTCTCACTCGAACCTTGGCAAGTCAAAAGCAATAAATATGTCCTAGAGGTATCCGGTCTTTTCGCTACCTTGCACTTTCGCTACTTACCTAAAAGGTCGATTCGCTACTTAATAGAAGTCGATTCGCTATCTCATATCAAATGTTAAATATCACAATATCGGGAATATATATTACATATATATTAATTTTGAGTCTATATCGATAGATTTATATTGTGTTTTACGGCATCGAAACGGGAATACATATTTTCAGAAAATTTCTAAACAAATATATATGTACTATAAAAAGGAGAAATTTCTGAACATCTAATACCGTAATACATATATATACGACATTCAACTTTCAGAAATTTCTGAACATCTCTTATCGTAATACATATATACGACATTCAACGTTCAGAAATTTCTGAACATCTCTTATCGTAATATATGTATACGACATTCAACGTTTAGAAATTTCTGACGTTTCTTATCGTAATATATATATACGACATTCAACGTTTAGAAATTTCTGACATCTCTTATCGTAATACATATATACGACATTCAACTTTCAGAAATTTCTGAACATCTCTTATCGTAATACATATATACGACATTCAACGTTTAGAAATTTCTGACGTTTCTTATCGTAATACATATATACGACATTCAACGTTCAGAAATTTCTGAACATCTCTTATCGTAAAACATATATAGAACAATCAAGATGCAGAAATTTCTGAATATCTTTTACAAGAATTTTTAAAAAACCCGAATCCGTGTAAGAGTGAGTATATTTAGGAGTTTTATTTAGAGAAGTGTTAAGCTTATGTTCAATTAAAGACTACCGCGAACCCTTTTCCACTGTTCTCTGATTGTTTTTTATATGAATCTGACTTACAAGATCATAACAAGGTATATGGGATTAGGGATCACAGACCCAGGATCAAGACAATTAACTATGAATTTGGGAACACATTCTAGRCATACTAAAGAGTCATTCGATATTTGTAATTGAATGAACATTAACATTGAATTAATTAACATTAACATTAACATTGAATGACGTATATATGTATTACGATAAGAGATGTTCAGAAATTTCTGAACGTTGAAAATAGCAATGCACTGCCATATGAATAATAAAATGGCATGCAAAATTTACTGGAATGACCTCCTTTTTCCATGCTCCTTTATCTTCTATGGCAGGCTACACTTATTTTCTATTTTGAGCCCTGCAATAAAGTGTACCATTTTAAGACATGGAATGTCATTGAAGCAAGTAGGGGACTAAATGTTAACTTTTGTTTTCTTGTCTTTTGATTAAAGGGGGACTAGCACGAAAATCTTCCAAAATTGAATTTTACTGAAACTTCAATGGAAAAATATTTTAGGGTATAATAATCGCTGGTTAAAATTTTTTCTTCCAATGGAAAGTATTATATGCTCCATAAATTTCTTTATACTGTAATTAACTTCATGTTTTACTTTAATTCTATTA